TGTAATATCAGTGATGAGTCCGTTTACTCGAATCAAAATTAGAAGTTTAAGTGAATCAAGACTGAGAGCTGGTATGTCTGCTCGCGGAGGTGATCCATCACCCTCGCCATCCAGATCGTCATCTTTCACGGGTCTCAAATATGTATCGATTTTTGATGACAAAACGAGGACGATTACTACAGTAAGAATTTGCTTTGATAGCATAATAGCATGCAATTGTTGAGGAGCATGGCCCCTGATGGGCTGCATCAGCCTCGCCGAGGCCGTAACGGGTCTGGGCAGTAGGAATGTGTGCGGCTTAACAACGTTCAGGCTTCGCGGAGCAGAATTCGGTCGTACAATTGCGTCGTAGGTGCGATCGAAAGTCTGGACACTGCCTCACTGTCCCGCTGTGACTTCATTATGTGAAGTCAACTAGTTAGTAAATGCTCCATGGGTTTGTATGCGTCACCGTGCGGCACTGAACTGCGACATATTGTTCATAACGAGAAACGGAAGCTGACGACTTGGTGATGGTGTCTCATAAATACGGTTGATTTCGTCACATTCAGCCAGGGCGATTTCAGGAGGTATGGAGCGAGCCCACCCTTAGGTTTCTTCACCACTGGTGATTTCCTTCCTAAGTCGATCACCGCTGGTGTAAAAGTCAGGGCGGCGGCGACTATCCACCCCTCCTGACACCGCTCGGACTGCTGAGGCGATATCAACTACACGTCCCTAATCCTTTTTTCTAGGCTCATCCTCTTCGACGCCTCTTTTAGAACACTATTGCAATTGATTTCAAGCATTACAAAAACAGGTGGCAATAACACATCGAGTACCCGTAGCCGCCGACGGCATGGCGAGAGACTGTATAATGCAAGACTAGGGTCCAAACGCACGAGCCATTAGCGTTCATTTTACGAAGCAGTCTGTAGGCGGAGCAGCAGCGTAGGACAGAGCAATCAGGAGAATACTGGTAAATGAAGGAGTTACAACCGGTTTTTGTTCGCTAAACAAAATTGTATGGTAGAGTTCTGGTTGGCCAACCACACCATACGTTCCAACTTTATTCGTCTTCCCAGGCGCTGAAGATTCCACCAGTGTGGGACATTTGTGGGTTCACAGCGTTCTCAGTGGGAATTACTGCAGTGGAAAATACTGCTGTCGGCGAATCGCTCAACCTGAGTGGCGCGTTCATACTATACAGTATGACAACTCCATTCTTATGTGAAATGTAAGCGATTAGTTAAATTGATGAAAATTGTATCTAGTTCGGAGTTCTACTAGTTGGGAATTCAGGAGCAACTCGGCTATGGTGCTTGTCGATCTGTGAACGAATTTGTGAAGTTGAATCGTATTGGAGAAGGTACCTATGGAATTGTTTATCGAGCAAGGGACTCTAAGAGTGGACAAGTGGTATGCAAGTGTGAATTTACATAATCAGTTTTTTGTGCTGAAATTGGCCAGGGCGAAACAAGAGGAACTAGTCATCAAAAAGAGCATTCGATATGTCTACGGGCAACCAGAATTTCATACCTTCAAATAAGGCAAATCAAAAGCATCTGAAAGTTCCCAACTCTGCGGATAAACGCCGAGCGTCGGCTACTCGGCTCGTAACCTTGAAAATATGAGTACTCATGTGTCTCGGTAAATTCATCAAAGATACGCACAGAGCACTTGGAGGTGGATCCTTTCCATGCGCGACATGTGGAAGGCCGCAGCTGGAAGCGTAGCACTCTCTCATCTAGAAAGTGCACGACAACTCGGAAGCCTTTCTTGGTTTTCTCTATGTATACGCCCGCATTTGATTCGCGCCACGCCCTCTGCATACACGCCGTACGCCTAGCAGGCAGCTAGCTGTACGACTGAATGGAGTCACAGGGCTGACTGATGGAAGACTGTGACCATTGACTCGGCCACAGTCTTCCATCCTGCTATGGTGTATTCATAACCTACTCGTCGTGTATCGAATGGGGATGGAGGGGCAAGTAACGTAAAACTATCGCAAGGTTCTACGTTTATCATGTTCATTTGAATAGAGGACTGTTCCATATTTACTACTACTGTTCATGAGTTCACTTAAAGGATTCGCCTTTCAGGTGATTGTTTTGTTAAAGAAACTGAACTCACCTGCCAAGGCAGGGAACGCCATCGCGTTGTGATCATTTCCTGAGAAGTACGACCCCCCTAAAATTCGTTGTCGAGCGGTACCCAGTGTATTTAAAACAGGAAAATTTCTAAGATATTGCAATTTTTCGAAAAATTTGTGTTTCTTCCACAAAGTTTTGGGGGGAAGGTCGTCAGATTTTAACTATCATTTTCAACTTTCAGAAATTTTAGTTGTATACAGTCGTCATCCTTGCACTTGATAGTCAATGTCAGTGCGGCTGCGTGCGGCGCGGTCGCCCGCACTGCACCAATCGTTGAACCAGGAAGTGACATTACTGTATTATATCCTTCGTGTTACTCGTTTTCTATCACTTTTTGT